TACATAGTACATAGTACATGGTACATGGTACAGTATAGGACATAGTACATGCTTAGCCCTTACAGCATACATAGTACATGGTACATGGTACATAGACCTTACTGGCCCTGTATAGTACATAGTTCATGCGTAGCCTCCATAGTACATACTTAGCCTGCGTCTTTGTGTAAAGCATACTTGGCCAAGGCTTTGGGTACTAGCAAAGTATGTGTGCTGTGTTACGCCTTACTGACCTTTACAGCATACATAATACATCGTACATGGTACGTAGTTTTGCCTGAGTCTTTGCGTAAAGCATACTTGGCTGCCTGAGTCTTTGGGTACTAGTGAGTTAAAGATTGACCGACACGGAAGATGAAAAGTTGAAAATGCTTAGCGGGTTAACTTGCGACTTTACTTACTACATATTTGTTTGCGGTGCTGAAAATTCAGAGAGTCAAGAATGATTTGTTTTGGTAGATAGCGAACAAGTTTTGTATGTTCTACTTGTTGTTGTCTGATGTGATTATGTCATTCTTTTTGTTGGTGCACAGGCTAATCGATATGTCATCATTGATCCAAGGCAACCGCAGACGGTGCGTATCGAATCTATGGATGGAGAGGTTACACATCAAACTTCCTCTGGTCAATGCCTCTCAGAAAAGATCGTCATGAGCATGTCATGTCCTCCTCCTTGTTGTTCTTACGGTTTTAATGAAGGTTTTTGATTGTGTTTTAAACCAAAAGAAAAGAGAGGAAAAGGGTTTAAAATGTAAAGCCTATACTTAAAAAATGTATTTACTATTTTTAATATTTTAGTACAATATTAAATAATTTTATTATTTAATAAGAATTGACAATTAATGCAGCCGTAAGTGTGTCTTGGTTCTACCGGATTACAGTGACCGTTGGTTTGTAGTTAGCTTGTGCTTCTCCTAAATTATGATCCTGTCTGTCTGTCCATCTGTCTGTCTATCTGTGCGTCCCCCCTCCATCCGTCCGTCTCTCTCTCTCTCTCTCTCTCTCTCTCTCTCTCCCTTGCCCCCCTCCCCCTCCTCCCCCGCCCCCTTGAGTTTTATCCCCTACTAGTTTCCCAAGATGCTTGCTAATTAATATCTGTGGACAGCTGTCAAAATCGGCGGCTTTTGTGTTTTAACCACCCACATACGGATCCATCTTCTTGATTTGTGTACTGACTATCATACTTTTTCTTCCGTTTCCCTTTGTGACTGTGTCGGCCACCAATCAAGGAATGGTAGGGTGCTTCTGTCACAGCGCAAGTTGATGGCCCTTCACTATGGTAGTTTTGCAAGGAACCAGTTAATGGGAAAACAAAATTTCCGAGCTGCAAAAGACACAAAGCAGAACAAGCATATATGAGCAAAGTTGAAAGCAGAGTTACAAATCCGAGAACACACCAAATAAGAACAATGACACTAAAGTCTCTTGACAAAGAAAGGCCAACTTGTCACCTCCACTCGTCAATATAACCACAATGTACCAGCTCTACTATGATGTGACCACCTATACTACTCTACTACTCTGTCTCTACACACAGCCTACATCTCTTCCTCATACTCTTCCTCTCTTTCTGTGCACTCTCCTCTCGCCTAACAATGCTGCAGAGTCTGACCGCCAGGAGTGTGCTCTTTGGCCATCACCAGGTAAATCTGCCTGCTCCCACAGCTGTCCTTCTATTCTGATCACCCCAGCCCCAGCGCCATCCTTCTTTCGCCTCAGCTCAGCTATGGCTGTCGCTGACGAGAGCAGCTATCCTCTGGCTGCTCCGCACCCTTCGTCTTCAATGACGGCTGGGTGTACGCTCTCTACAGGGCTAGCGCTGCCAGCCAGTGCCTCCGAGTGTTTCCAATGCTGCAGCCGCCTCCCTTTTGTCACTTTCTGAAGGCCACGACTGCCTGGACTGGGACTGGGCTCTTCGGGGACCGAGAACCTTCCGGGCAGAGATCCAGGGCCCCAGTCTCTGCATCTAAACGAGAGGCTGGGCCTACCGGTTAGTTGGAGAGGCGGCACTCAGTTTTCACTCAGGGCTGGCGGAATTTTCTCTGCAGCAGCCTTCACTTAGGGTCGGGCCAAAATTTTCTAGGCGGCCCCTGGTGCAGGTCTGCTGAGGCCTGAAGCCTCGCATTTTACTTAACTTCTTTACTTTTTTTCTTTTGAACAAAATGTTGAACCACCAGCGCTTGGCCGGACATTGGCCGCGGGCCCCTCACGTTATGCGCCGGTAGCCTTTGTATCATTTACAGCACATCCGAAAGCCGCTGTGAGGGGCCTGCGGCCGATGTATGGGCCAAGTACTGGTTGTTTAAAAACTCTTTACTTCCCCTGCAACCCCCCCCTCCCCCCTATAAGTACCCCCTCACTTTTTATTTTATTTTTAAAAATTTTAAATAAGGCTAATTCTTTTAAGCCCAACCATTTCAATTACCTGTCGAATCTGGACAGGACGGTCTTTCAGGCCGTTTTTATTGTCATTATAGTATTACGGGGAACCCCGTAGCAGCCACATCCGTGCTCAAGCCTCCAACGAGGGAACATGCGGGAGCTGCACCCACCAGCAGCAGGTGCGATACCTGCTACAGCAGGTGGGCGATAGCGGCCATCACGACCAAGCTTCTTCGATGGGCCAGTCACTGTCCCTCCCCTCTGGTCCCCTCCCCCTATGAACATCAGCAGTCTCTGCTCAATGCCACTCGGGGGGACCAACGGCCTATCTCTAGGTGGCGGGCGCCAAGCTTGCCCAGGAAGGTACATGAGAAGCCAATGGGGATTGAACCCAAGACCTCCTGAATGCCACTTGCATGCCTTACCAACTGAGCTAGGCCGCTGGATTACGCCCTCACGTTTGTGCGGTGCACTGACAACTGGTTGGGGAGAAGAAAACAGAAAAGCACATTCACGGGTTCGCTGTGCTCTGCATGCCTCTGCCAATGTTTTTGAGTAGCCTGCTTGATGGGCAGTGGGCTGGTTTTAATTGCAAAAAACAGTCAGAAAAGTGTATGAAAATTCCGTTTTTGTTAATTTTTAAAACTTCTGTCGAGATAGGTTCCGACCTGTCAACCCAAGAGCCTAGCTCAGTGGGGACCACACCCATGAACTGTTGAAAATACAGACCCGTGTTCGAATCCAGATGATGGAAGTTGACAAGTAAAGTTGTACAACCAGGTTCCGACCTTTCAGTTGGTTTAGCAAAACACGTTGTGGTCCTTGTGGACCATATGGAAGAGGCGATGCCAGCAGACGATAGCAAAGCGACAAATGCACAGAAGAGAGGCACGGGAAACCTTCTGTAACCTCCTGTAACCTCCTGGAGACTGAGATCAGAGCACAACGGTACCGGGTCCGTAAGCAAGCACAAAGTAACCCGGAACAGGCTCGAGAGCTAATACAGAAGCTCCAGCAAACAGTGTTGATGAGGGGAAAGGTAGCAACGGTGGAAGGACCTAGGCTGGTATTTCAATGGACCACGGAAGAACAGCAATAGGTTTAGGGAAGGAGAGAGCATGCTGGAGTTAGTATAGGCGTTATTTTTTTCGAAAGTGGAGAAAGGAGGTAAGAGAGAGGTCGAAGTTTGACAGTAGTTACAGGTTAAGCTAGGGTTTAGGGTTTAAGAAGGAGAGGACACACACAAGTGGTAGGGTTTAGGGTTCATATAAGGTTAAGGATGCCTAGGGTTTCAAGGGGGTGAAAAAAGGGGATACTGCTGCAGAAGGTTAAGGGTAAGCATAGGTTCATAGTTTTTTTTCATTTTATTTCTGTTTGTGCTGTATTTGTCCAGTTTTTTTTTTTTTTTTTCGTTGAAGTTGCAGATATTGGGTCGCTGGACCCGGTTTGCAGCACAAGCCAAACCTGGGTAATGGCCCTAGCACTGTCCGCGTTGAGATGATGAGGAATTCCCAGCCTCATTGATTGTTTATATAAGGAAACTGCAGCTTCCCTTAAAAATATATTTAAACTTCTGTCGAGGCATTGTCTGAGGCAAATCCTCTTCATGTACGTTGTTGAAATTTTGTACGATAATAACCACCTACCTCCTTCCTGCAGGAGGGGCAGGGGATTAAGGAGGGGGTGGAGGAGAGGGTGAATGGAGGGGTTAAGGATCAGCTTTCATTAGCCTCCCATGCCAACTGTCTGTCAGATTAAAACCACTCGAACAGCGTTTTCCTTTTTTCTATTGGTGGTTTCGAAGCAGCAGAGAGAACGGAGACTGGCTCCAGGATTTTAGAATCCTGCGAAGTCTGAGTGTGAGCTGCAACTGCCCATTATGTTTTGGTCCGCGTTCAGGCCTCATCTCCAAATCCTGATGCCGCACCATCCAACGCATGCTAACTGGATTATAGGGGGGGGTGGAGAGGGGAAGAGAGAGAGAGAGAGAGAGAGAGAGAGAGAGAGAGAGAGAGAGAGAGAGAGAGAGAGAGAGAGAGAGAGAGAGAGAGAGAGATGGTACTTCTGGTTCGTGCGGAGCTTAGTTTCTTCTGCTTGTGGGCTCACATTCTGCATATGGGATAGCGATTGGAGCAGTCATGGGAATTTGTCTTGTTGTTTGTAATGTGGTTGTCCTCCCCTTTTGTTTGTGATGTGGCTGCCATCCCCTTTTGCAGGCTGTAGGGTACATCTATGAGGAAAGCAATGTATTTGCACGCCAGGTGGGTCGGCTATTGCCCAGGTACTTCCGTCACAACCCAGTCTTGATTGTACTTTATGGGGCGTACTGTGCCTTTTGCTCTGCAATTTGTGGCGGCGTATTCCTTTGTCTGTTTGCTGTCAATGGGGTAGAAACATGGATCTGGTGCACCCAAATAACAGAGAGTCCTTTACTTTGGGTGTTCCTGGTTCAGCACTTCTTATTCACTGTTCGAAAAACCAGGAGCACCATCGACGTCGCCTTTCGGGGTTTCCTGAGGGACCGATTCACTCTGCGTAGATTGATTGAATGTAGAAAGTTAGAAACCCTTGAACTGTCAGTGATAATGTTTTTCACCTGATTTTTTTTTTTTGTCAGCGATGATGTTTTTCACCTGATTTTTTGTTCCGCAAAGAAATCCTGGAAGATAAGAAGTGCTCAACCAGGAACACGTCAAGGAAAGGGCCCTCGTTTTTGTTTTTGTTTTTGTTTTTGCTTTTGTTTTTGTTTTTTTGGCCCGGAACGAAAAAATTGGACCGTTTCTTGACTTATGTCTGTCATCCTTGCACAGGGGCCATGCTAATCTTCTCTGTATTGCTCCAATTTTAACGGATGTCCCATAAGGACATGGACCCTCTGTTATTTGGTGCACCAAATTATGTTCACCCCCAAAACAAATGCCTGGCGGTTAACACAGGAGGCGGGCAGGTTCGGTAGCATCGGCCTGGAATGGCTGGTGGCGCCAGGCACATCGAGGCCCGTGCCGGTTCGTTTTTTTTTGGCGCGCTTCTTGATTTTAGGCTCGGCAACGATAGCTGAGAAAGGTACTGGTGGTTTAACATCACGTTCCTACCGTCTTCATCCGACTACAACGTACGATCATTATTGCTGTATCTGGACTAAAAGTTGCCACAAATACAGCTATAATGACCATACCTTGTATTCAGGTGAAGACGGTAGTAGATAAGAAAAGACCGTTATTTGGTGCATGTCATCCAGGGGCCATGCTAACCCTCTCGATTTGTCGGTTTTGCTGTTAATGAGCTATCTGGTGCGAACCTTCTCTGCATCATTCCAATTTTAACGAATTGATTTGATTTCACGTAATGACTCACATTCTCTCTCTTTTTTTTTTTTTTTCTTTTTTTTTCTTTTTCTTCCACGCGCGTCACTAATTAGATGACAAGGCATTTGGCTACCATGAGAGAGTGATGTGACTCACATTCTCATTTGGCCAAAACGGAAAGCTCAGCTTTTTTTTTTTTTTTTTTTTTTTTTTTTTTTCTCTGTGTGTGAGTAAAGGCAGTGGCCACTGAGGTTTGACCCTGTGAAAGACCATTGCACTGTGCATATAGTCATGCCAACAATGTCATAAATTCTCATAATCGATAATGTCCTTTGGGACATTCGTTACCGTAGGCTTGATCAATTATAATTATCTTGGTCGTTGCTTGATGTGAAGGCGATCATCATAATCTCTTACTTAGCTCTACCTTCCTCTTAGGCCTATTCACACTGGGACCTGTTTCTCTGCATGCATTGGACGGCAATTATGGCCAGATTCATCCGTGTAAAGTCCCTCAAGTGGGAACATGTCCTTAGCACCCTAGACATGATTTTGGAATGCTTTTCCCTTGGTTGGCATTTGCTTGTTTTAAAGATCACTTCTCTTGGGCTCTTGACTTCTTATCCACATCCAGTCTCATCTTCATCATTTTTTCCGCGTGTGACAGTGTGTGTGAAAAAAAGGGTATAGTACTAGAGTCCGTACTGATATTAGTTCTCAGCATCTGAGTTTTGAACGCTTGATTTCCGTTCATGAACAGCTACATGTGTGTACCATTCACGCTGATGCAGCCACAGCGGGCCGGTACAACATAGCTTCAGCATTCTACAGCGCTCTGTCTGTATTTGAAAATTTCATTCGAAACTTCCAAAGTCCTCCCAACCCTCTAAAACTTCTAAAACCTTTCCGCCGCGGGTACGTTTTTTTCTCTGCGAAACAAAAAATCGGCCTCTGGAAAAGACAAGAACAAAGGCGGTTGTATCTCTCCATGTTCTGGGAGGAGACACGTTCTCATTTTTCACATGTGGTGAGTAGTGCTGCGAGGCCCTATTTCTTCCTGGATTTTCCGTGGAAGTTGCTGCCCATAGGCCTTGGCGTTTTCCAGAGTGACTCTGCTCACTACGTGCGACTGCAGGCAAACAAAACGGCGGCACGCAGGGTAGGTGTGACGGGCGGGAGGAGAAGACATCTTCGACTTGATGGTGCGCTGCACACACACACACACACACACACACACACAGAGAGAGAGAGAGAGAGAGAGAGAGAGAGAGAGAGAGAGAGAGAGAGAGAGAGAGAGAGAG